CCAGAATATTCAAGATGCAGATGCAGAATGGAGCTGTTCACTGTCAGAATAATATTTCCTGTTTCATTCCCTCTTCCTTTCTTAATTTTTTTCTCTTCTCAACAACTCACAACATTTAATATCTGGGGTTTGAATAATTATTGTCACCCTTAGGTGGCATTCCCCAGTGACAGGGCTGATCAGAGGCCACTGCTGTAGGTGTGAGCTCATCATTTTTGTATTTTGTCAGGTTTTTGGGATTTTTTTCCTTCAGTTTCTGTTCCCTCTCTGTGTTTGCAGCTCCTCTTGCTCACTGGCCCATGGCAGGGAGGGCTCTGAGGTTTCTGATCACGTTCAGGGTGCACGATCAGATCTGGGAGCATCCTCCCAGCATGAAGGAGAGGCTGAAGGTCGGGAGTGTGGCAGATGGAGACAGACTGCTAAAACAGGCATTGGCTGCAAACAGAACCTGGTGCTGAAGGTGGCCATAAATAATGCCATCAAAAAAGGGCTCTTGTTTGAGGGGAAAAAACAAATTATTTATGAACTTCATGCATAAGATCACTTGTGCTGCTCTCTAATACAGCTGTGGACACCAGCAGCTTTGGAAACTTGTGGCATTACAGCCACAGTGGTGGGAGAAAAAAAAATGTTTTTCATTGAAAAAAAATATGTCTTGACCAAGGTTGTTTTTCTTCACCTTTTGGGAAACTTAATTTCAATCCAATTTTTTCTCCTGTGTTCCTTCCTGCTGTATCTTTTCAGGCAGACTGATGGTCTCCAAAAAACACTGTAGGTGGAAATTTTCCTTCAGGAAACTTCCAGCTTGTCTCATCAAGACACACACAAGAGTTAAATAGGTTTCCAATTTTAGCTGCAGTGGTTCTAAAATAAATTCCAAAAAAGATAATGGAATAAATAACAAATTTTAACACTTTTTCTGTGGCATTAGTATTAATCACTGTCGTGTTATATCATGGAATAAAGTAAGAATAACACCAGCAGCACAAGGAAAGTTCTGAATTGTAGAGTTTAATGAAAACCTCAGCTGTAGATTTCAAGAAATTGAGAATTGAGTGGTTTACATTTGAGCAATGCTTTTACACAACCTGATTTTTTTAAAAAAAACAAACAACAATTCTCTTTGAAAATACTTAAAAACTTCTTCTTCTTCCTTTGAATGAACATAATTTCAGAATGCTTTCACTTCACTTGGTGTTGTTTACCTGGTTTGTGCATTCCCCACCTTCTAACCCCCAAAAACTCTCACCCAGAGCCTTCCTCTTGGGAGCAGTGAGGTGCAGGACCAACTTCAAGCACATCTTATTTTTACATTAAAATTTGGACAAGCAGAATTTCCTGGCTTGGGTGATCCAAGGAAAGCTGCCCCTGCAGGAATAATTCCACAGCAGCTTTACTGTCAGCACTGCAGTGTGGAGCTGGGACAAACAACAGCCTGGCAAAAACATCTCAGGGAAGGACAAACTGAGGAGCTGAGGCTGCTGGATGAGCCTGCAGCAGATGGGGATGGAAGTTTCCTGTGGAGCTCTCAGCGGCATCCTGAGCACCCCACAGCTTTTTTGTGGCTTCATCTCCCCTCAGTCAATCCATTTTGGTGACATCCTCGAGCTGTGACACATCCTGGTGGCACATCTGGCTCCTCACCTTCTCTCCAGGGTTTTCCCTCCTTGTTGTCATCCTCCACAAACCCCTTTCCTCCCACCCTTCCCACTTCTCCTTTGGCAAGTGGCTCAAAAGGGCTCTGTCACCTCCAGGGAAGCCTTTTCTTTCCCAGTGCTGGAGTGTTTTTGTGGAGATAATTAAGTGTGAAAAGGATCACTGGTGTTTGGAGGGGAGAAGTTGAGTGAAACAACTCATTTAAAGCCTTTAATTTCTCTACCCACTATGGAACACACCCATTTTCCATCCCCTCAGCCCTCCCCAGAGCCTTGTCTTGGTGCATGTCGGGAAAAACATGGAAAGATTTTCTGGATCAATATCCATGGTGGGATGCTGGGGGCATACTGAGGGTCAATGAAGCCTCCAGGGCTTGGTGTGAAGTTGGTGGAAATGTTTTCAGCCTCCAAGCTGAGCTCCAGCTCCTCAAGGAGCACGGATTTGGTTCCCTGGTGGAGCAGGGAGCAGGTTCTGCTGCAATTAAAGAGTCTACAAATAGCTGTGCATCAAATGCAATGGGTGTCCAGGAAGAGCTCATTGTAATCTGGATTTCACACGTGGGTTGGGTTGGGTTGGAAGAGACCTTAAAGATCTTATAGTTCTTGATTTTTTTTATAGTTTTTTAAGATCTTAATAGTTCTTCAAGATCTTATAGATCTTATAGGATCTTAAATCCTGTAGTTCCACCTATAGTTACACCCCCTGCCATGGGCAGGGACACCTTCCACTATCCCAGGTTGATCCAAGCCCCATCCAGCCTGGCCTTGGACACTTCCAGGGATGGAGCAGCCACAGCTTCTCTAGGAATTCCGTTCCAGGGCTTCAGCACCCTCACAGGGAAGAATTTCTTCCCAATATTCCATTTAAATATTCCCCCCATCATCTTAAAGCCGTCCCCCATTGTCTTGTCACTACATCTGTGGAAGTAGAAAAAGATCTGATGTTCTCAAAACAGCACTCATTTTTTTTCAGCAGCAAAAACCTCAGCTGAAGGCTGAAATATCCAGTCATTAAGTAATGGAAGTGGCAGTGGAAAGAAAAACAACATTTTCTTCCTGGAAATCGACAGTTTGTACACTAAGTGTCATTTTCATTGATACCCCACTTTATTGTGTATGAGAAGCTGCACGGAAAAAACGATTTGTCGATACAAGAGGAGGTAAAATCATGGTATTTCTTGCATTTTGCACTAACTTTTCTTTCTTTCTCTCTCTCCTTTCTTACATTTCCCTCCTCCTGCAGCAAGAAAAACAGCAGACACCAAACAAGAGACCCTGGGAAGGCATCAGGAAAGTCCAGTCCCCGCCAGCATGGGTTAAAAAGGACATCGAACCTGTGGCACAGTCTCCCCTAGAACTAAAAACTGTAGAGTGGGAGAAAACAGGGGCCACCATCCCATTGGTGGGACAAGACATTATTGACCTTCAGACAGAGGTCTGAGCAGCAAGGGAAGAAAAAGGACTTTTTTTTTTCCGGAAAACAAAACGAAACAAACAAAACAAAACCACGTTTTAAAGAAATGATTAAATTAAATCGGAACCGAGGGAGAGAAGTGTTTGGTTTCTTTTGAAACCTTTGGTAAGATGGAGTAACTTTTGTATTGTTCTCAGCAGAGAGGGGGGAATATTACTTTATAGAGTATAGTAGCTGTAGGTTCAGGACAACACGAGCTTTCCCAGGCAGGACTGGAGGAGTGAGCCTGGAAGAGAGCGAGGAGGAAGAGGAGGAGGAGGAGGGTGGGGAGGGGCTGCAGGGGACAAACCCTGCCAAGATGCTCTAGGGTCACTGCAGCACACCAGGAGCCCTCCTGCTCTGCCACAGGGAGGTGTGGAAGGATGCCCAGCAGCCACCAGAAGATCAGGGTTGTTTGGGGACACTGAGAGGGGACACCTGCGGGAGCCTCGCTGGGATGTGGCCTGCTTGGGGTAGACCCATCCTGGAGGGACATCGCTGGCTCTCCCTCCTCTCCCTCACAGCTCATCCAAGAAGGAAGGAGATGGGACATGCCAAGAAGTGGCCACAAGGACATTGCCACTGCTGGGTGCCACGCCACGACCTGGCATTGGCGCACGGTCACAGCGGGTCCCCGCAGAGGGGGACGTGGTGGCGTCACCCACGGTTGGAAAGGTGGAAAAAGGAGAGGTGGAGATTCCTCCTCTCATCCCTCCCTGGTGGAGGAAAGGACCAGCTCCAAATCTCCAAATCCTGCTCGCCCCATCTCCAGGGAGAGGGTGGAAGGTGGTAGACAACAAGACCAACAAGAAGAATGTAGGTCATGTCATTGACTGTTAAATAGATAAACTCAGCACGGGCCTTGCAAAGGTCCTCTTGGCCTCATCCTTTTTATTTTTTCTTTTTTTTTTTTTTTGTTCTGTTATTTGTCCTTGCTTTCGGACTCAAATTTATCCCAAGCTGCCCCTCCCTGGAAGGCAGAGAGAGAAAAAAGGAAAGACAGATCTGCCGCTGTACCTGGAGATATTGGTAAACAGAGACGTTGCCTTAGGACATTGAGACAAACTGACAACACGAATAACGTCCACTTGGAAACAAACAGACAAAAAAAACAAACAAAATAATCTATTTTTTTCCTTCTTCTTTTCTTTTCTTCAATAAAAAGAGAACTTGAAACCCGAGACCTTTCCTTTCTTTGGCTCTTGTCATTTCGAATGCCTTTCTGTGCCGTAGGACTGCTCAGGCATGGGGTGAGGATGCCACCTGCTGAAGGTGGAAGGCAAGTTGCTCTGTGGAAATTTTGGGATGGTGGGAATACACAGCCCCTTCGCTGCTGCCTTGCAATGTTTTGTTTTGCTTTATTCCATTTGGGTTTTGGTTATTTTCCCCTCCCTGGCTCTTCTCCGCCCTCCCCGCTGCCCAGAGCCAGCAGAAGGTTTGTGGTCCTGCAGGAAGGAAGAGGTGGAGCCGATCAGGAAAGCAGGACATTCCCCCTCATAAAATGCAGTCTTTTCATTTCACTATGAAAAAAAAACTATTTAAAATTTTTCGTTTAACATTTCTCAAGATTATTTACAAAAAAAAAAAAAAAAAAGAGGTGTCTGCATTCCACCCCAAAAAGTATTGTGCAATATTTTTATCATTAAAAAATATCCCAGTAGCATTACACATAGACTTTATTTTTTTGTTATTATTTTTGTCATTCCCAGCACTGTCTGTCTGATGTTTGCACCAACTCTTCCAGTTTTGGAGGTGGATGGAGACAAACCTCTGGTTGAGAGGGGACAGATTGTGCCAGACAGCAGCAAAGCTTGAACAGGGTCTGAATTATTACTGTGCTTGGGTCTCCTTTTAATTAAAAAATACCAAACCTCACATTTTTAGGAAAAAATATCCAATGGGTACAAGATGCAAAGCAATCACTGCCCTCAGCTGTGCTTCCCCCATGGGGAGATGCTTGAAGTGGCAAATCTCTGCTTTGACTTCCCTTTGGGCCACCTGGGTGAACTCCAAGGACAGTGGCATTTACATTGCCATTAACCATAGGATATGAAGGATGGAACGGAAGGCTTAAATAAATCCAAATAGTTAAAAAAAATAGGGAACGTGGTTACTCATAAAACTGTGATATTATTGTTCAATATTAGCTTATTCATGAAACAGGAAAGCACAAAGGCCTCCCTCAGATGCTGGGTTGTATGATATTGTAATTATTATAATTACACATGATGAATTTTAGCATACAGGTATCTTTCTACTGTGTTTTAATTCTTTTCTCTTTTTTTTCTCCTTCCCTTCCCTCCTGCCCACCCAAGCCTGCCCTCTCCACTCCAACCTTCCCTGCTCACCCATTCACTGCAGCCGCCTTTGCAGGACATTAACGGTGTTATGTAATTACAGAGATTAATGTTTGTTTAAGAACTGTTGATATTTGACTTTTCTCTGCTCAGCTCCTCTGGTTAATCCTGTTTTCCCATGTCCTGCCCTCCTTCCATGCCTTCCCCTCCTCCCTCTCCGTGTTCGTCAACACTTTTTTTTTTCCTTTTTCTCTCTCTGTACAGTTTTCAGAGCACAAAATGAATGTGTCTTATTTCTAATAAAAGAGGTGGAAACTCCAGCCCTGTCTGCTTTTTAAAAGTGCCCCTGCCTGCATCCCATGTGTGCTTTGCATCTCTCCTGGGGGCTGGGAAACCTCTCCTGGCCCCACAGCTGCCACGTGGGTCTCTGATCTTTCCAGAGCCACGACACGGGGCTGAATTTACCCAAATTTCAGCTTTGTATCCTCTCCACCCCTCTAAAAATACATGTCTCTATAAAGTACATTTGCAGGACATGAGGAATCCCCTTTTCTCTGCAGTGAAGTTTGTTTTTATTTAGGTTTCTCAAACCCACAGCCTGATGCCTCCTTCCCCATATGGTAGGATGTGAAGGGCTGAGATTTAGCACAGATCTGGCAGAATTTCTGCTACAGGACAGGGGTGTGGGGTTAAAGTTTCCAGCAGGGCCGTGGTAATTCTGATGCCACCCTGCCCACATCCTGCAAAGCCAATCATAGAATTCCAGAATGGTTTGGATTGGAAAGGGACCTTAAAGATCATCTTGTACCACTCTCTGCCATGGGCAGGGACACCTTCCACTATCCCAGAGTGCTCCAAGCTCTGTCCAACCTGGCCTTGGACACTTCCAGGGGATGGAGCAGCCACAGCTTCTCTGGAAAACCTGTGCCAGGGCCTCACCACCCTCACAGGGAAGAATTTCTTCCCAATATTTAATCTAAATCTAAATTTACCCTGCTTCAGCTTAAAGCCATTCCCCTTGTCCAATCCCTCAGTACCCTTGTAGGAAGGACCTCTCTATTTTTTCTTGTCCCCATCAGGTACTGCAAGACTCAACCTCACCTGGATTTCCCTGGCACCTCCTGCATGACCAGACAGACTCTGAGCAGGAGCATGGCTCAGAAAAATTAACTGAGCAGCAAATTATTCACTTCCTTGGTGCTCATCCTCAAATGGCTGAAATCTTCCAGAAAAAAAAAGTATATATCTTTATCTCCCTGACTCTGCTCCATCACCTGTTAGACTTCAGGATTATAGGCAGGACTACAGGAAACCTAAATCTTGGGAAAATGGGCTTCAGGACTGCTGCTATCCAGAGCCTTCATCCAAAGCCATCACAGCCCAGTAGGTTCTCAGATGAAATGATTTTTCTTATTCTGGCGGAAATAATGTGAATATCCTGAAAAATCTGGAATGACTGCAGACCCCTATAGGCTCGTAGCTCAATTCCCCCTTCCCTGAGCTGTGATCCAACATTTCTTCAAGCAGCAGCACTCAATGGTGAGTCTCAGACCTTCATCCTTCCTATGGAGTTGTTTCTCACCCTACATCTGCCATTCCATGATCCTTCATAGACTTGGCAGTGCTGGGTTGGACTTGGTGATTTTAAAAATCTTTTCCAACCTAAAGAATTCAATAATTGTGTCGCATTAGGGAAGAGGCATTTCATGAGATGATGGGCTGGGAGAGAAGGAGAACCCAAACATTGGATTGCTGGTCAAGGAGACTGGAAGGAGAGCACTTCTCACTGTGGGGCTGTAAATGAAAGCACTGCTAAAGGTGGTGGGTGCAGGAGGTCAGTGTGGTTTTGGTTTGCACTGGTGGGGCTGCAAGAGAGGATGAGGCAAAGAGAACTCTTAGAGACACCTCATTGCAGCCTCTCAGTACTTCAGGGATGGTTATAAAAACGAGGGACAAGGACTTTTTACATGGGTAGATGGTGAAAGGACAAAGGGACTGGTTTGAAACTAAAAGAAGTGAGATTAAGATGAGATTTTGGGAAGAAATTCTTTCCTGTGAGGGTGGTGAGGCCCTGGCACCCCCTTTGGCTGCCCCATCTCTGGCAGTGTTCAAAGGTTGGATGGGGCTTGGAGCAACCTGGGATAGTGGATAGTGTCCCATGGGATGGGTGTGGAATGAGATGATCCCAAAGGCCCCTTCCAACCCAACCCATTCTCTAACTCTAAATTCACCATCATCCCACATGGATGAAGCACAGCAATGCTGTGGAGGTGGATAAATTGTACATTGCACATGCAAGAATTTGTGTGTCTTGGTTGCTAAACTGGGAAAACGTAGCTGTGCTGAGAAATTGTGAAGAGGCTGAAAATGGAGGAAAATGCAAAGTCTGTTGCCTGGGCTGCTCTGATGGATTCACTCGACCCCTTAACCAAACCATCAGTAGTTTGGCCCAAAACCCAGAGGAGGCAAAGCCTGAGCCAAGAACTCCTCCAGGAAAACCACAGGGGAGCAGAGTGACACAGTGAGCATCAATGCACATGGGCTTGGAACACTGATCAAAGCATGAGTAACAGGTGCCTTTTCCAAGACTCATTTATCAGGGAACAGAGAAACTTGTGGGTACAAGTGATGCCTCAGGTTTTAGCTTTTATATTTTTCAGATTCTGTACTGCTTCAGTGTGTAATTCTGAGCTTCATACGAGGGGATGGTGAGCTCTCTTCACAGAGTAGGGAGACAAAACAATTCCTTTTCTAGCTGGGGACCAAGGACAACTGATCCAAATCTCAGGCCCAAGAGCACAAACAACGTGGACTGAAGAGAGAAAAACAAGAAGGATGAGACTTCATAAGCTAAAGCTGTAATTGGACAATTAACTCCAATATGCAAATGGACCAAAACTTATAAAAGTGTGAGACCCCGTGATTGGTCGTGCATTTTGTGACCATTTTGGGTTCATCTTGGGTGTAGCCTTGGCTGGGCTCTTGTGCTGCCCAAGGTGTATGCATTGAGGCTTTCTAATAAATCCCTACTTAATTCTTCAGATCGCTCTAGTCTCTGTTCTAGATCAGCCTTCACAAGGCATCAGTTTCTGGTGACCCAGATGGGACAGAAGGCATCTGGAAAACCCCCTGGACCAGAGCCAGAGGAATCTCCAGCTCTTGCCCCTCTTGCAGTTTCATTCATTTCCATTTGGTAAAATTTGACTCTGAGCTGACCACTTTGGTCCATAAATAGGACAGCCTAAGTGAGCCTTCTGTGAACCACCATGGAAGTGATCTCCTCCCTGGAGCTGGGACACCTCTCAAGGTTTCTGCTCAAGCTAAAGAGACCTTTTTCCAATATTGGATCTTTGGATGAGTCCCATTTGAATTGTTCCTGAATTCCAGCTGAACTGTGTGCCAGGAGAGTCTCCCCTGGAGCGGGGACACCCCTCAACATTTGAGATTCCTTAGCTGAGAGATCCTTCCTTGGCCAAGGTGGAGAGGCCTTTACTCGTGGCAGATCCTCAGGGAGTTGCTGATATCAAGCTGAATTAATAATCATGCATTATTTGCAATAATGCCAACCTGTGTACTCAGTATTAATTATTATAAACTTTGTGTGGATAATTCCACTAGACATAAACCATTGCCCAAATCTAAGACTAAGATTGGACCTAACCTTGGACAGCAATGGGGGGCACTCTGAAATGTGTGACTCAATTGGAGGATCTCCTTTAGCCTTTTGTGTCTCACATCTCTCTGTAATACCTTCTAGTTTGATTCCAGCTCAATTTTCCTTTGTGCATTTCTTCCATATATTAAATAACAGTGAACCTTCCTTTTACAACATCACATTAACACCACTTTTCCTGATACATTTTACAGTGGTCCTCTCAGTGATCTAAATCACCCCTTCACTACAGCTGCCCATGTAGTGGGAAAAGGCCCTGGTGGAGCAAGAAAACATTCCAGGGAGATTTAGGACCAGCACAGGAGGTTATTCTCTCCACTCTCTCTTTTTTGTGACTCAAGGAGTCCTTGGGTTCACTGTGCTCCTGTCTGTGTCCCAGATGAATCAGGGCCTGAGGTGAAGATCTCTTCTTGAGCTCCTGTGGGGACAAGATCTAAACAGAGAAATAAAGAAAGAAGACTGGTGTTGGTTTTTTTTTTTCCTTCATATTTTCCCCAAACCACTCGTAGCAGGAAGAAGTCAGAGTCACCAAGAGATCTCTTTGGAAAACATCTCCAGGTGCTTGTTCACTGAGATCTATTTTCAATCATTTTCTAAAAAAAATCCCCAGGGCAGTGATGTGGGCCTTGCTCATCTCCTGTGTCCCAGAAAGCACAAAATAAAAAGAGATTTGGCAGATTAGGAAGGAGTAATGTGGCTTCTGAAGAGGCCATCAGCCACCACAACAGCCAGAGGAGCAGTGGCAGCTGAGCAGATAAAGTCCCAAGAGCACACTCCTGAATGATGTCCCCACCATCCAGATGCTTCACAGATGTTTGTTTCTTTGAAAAGCCACATTTCCTGGCTCCTGAGGAGGGTGAGAGAGTCCTTTGAACTTCTAAACTGGGAGAGAAAGGACAGATGTTGGATTTTGGAGAACAGAGGACAGATGGTCCTGATGGTCAGGGAAAGCTTCCAGTGCCTAAAGGGGCTCCAAGAGAGCTGGAGAGGGAATTTGGACAAGGGCCTGGACTGACAGGACATGGGGGAATAGTTTTAAGCTGAAGAAGGGCAAAACTAGATGGGGTATTGGGAAGAAATTCCTCCCTCCCTCCCTGTGAGTATAGTGAGGCCCTGGCACAGGTTATACAGGGAATTTGTAGATGCCCCATCCCTGGAAGTGTCCAAGGCCAGGTTGGATGGGGCTTGGAGCAACCTGGGATAGTGGAAGGTGTCCCTGGCCATGGAAGAGGATTGGAAGGAGATGATTTTTAAGGTCCCTTCCAACACAAACCATTCCATGACTCAGTGATGATTTTTGCAGTACACAGCAGGATGGAGGCTGCTATTTTTTCTCCTCTCTAATGGAAAAATGCGAGCTTCAAAGGCACAGAAATTCAAAATTAAAATACAACACCTCGCAGCAGCACTTTGACAAGTGGCCTCTGCACAGGTGCAGCAACGACCAAAGAAAATTATGCAAATATTGGGAATGATTTGAAAGCAGGAGAGAAAGAAGGAGGCAAATTCTGCAGGAAGTGAGGGAAGTGCAGGGGAGTTTCTGTTCAGGAGAAATGAGCAAATGAAAAGAGAAGTTGTCCTCTCCTGCTCTGTGTGGGTTGAGGGCTTTCAGGGGATGGACAATCAAAGAGTTCCTTAATGGATACC